GAAAACGACCTAGCGTGGAAAACGCACAACGAACAAGAAAAAAGGGAAAGATTGGGACCTGGAACATTTGCAGCTTGCCAAACAAAGAAACTGAGATAGTGGAGTTCATGGCCCAGAACAAAATCTCTATCATGGACATTACAGACATCAGAAAAAAAGGAACAGGTGCAAAAGAGATCCACTCCAAGAAAAGAGAAAAGAGCTGAACATGGTGTGGGTTTCATCATACACCCTGACAAAGCAAAGGAAATAATGAATACAGAGTTCATTTCTGAAAGACTCTTCAAAATCAGCATAGAGATAGCAGAAAGACCACAAACTACATAATAGTGTATGCACCGTGCAACGACTCCTACTCAGACGAAGAAAAGACTCCTTTTTCGAACAACTCTCGGACTTAATCAGCAGCATCTCAGACGAAGAAGACCTTTATGTAATGGGAGACTTCAACGGAAGAGTAGGAAAGAGAAGAACATCGTGAACAAAACACCTGGGCCCACACAGTGACCACAGAACACCATGCAATTATAATCACAACCAGGTATTGGAACTGTGTGCAGAGCACGACTTATTCATCACGAACACCTTCTCCCAGCACAGAGCCTCTATGATCTACACCTGGTACAGATGGAACAACATCAAGGACTCATCACAGATCGACTTCACGTTAGCGAGATCTCGAATGCGGATCACTATCGCAGACTCAAGTGCCTTCCCCAATGCAGGCCTGGACACAGACCACATGCCAGTCACCAAAACGTTGACCACCAAGAAAGAAAGAAAACCAACAAACCGCAAAAAACCGCAAGAGACACTAAATATGCAAAAGGGCGGGGATGATCAGGTGCAGATTCAGATCAGATGCACCCTAAATGAAAAGATAGACTCTATCAACTCTACAATACTAACCGCAGAGGAAGCATAGGACACCTTCAAAACATGTCTCCTGGACACTATTAAAGAAGTCTGTGGTACCAAGAAGACAGGAGGAAGACACAGAATGGCAACAGCCTGGTGGAACGAAGAAGTTAAGGATGCTATCAAGGGAAAAAAGAGACTGTATACTGTATGGGTCAAGTCGAAAAACGAAGAGGACTACATTAAATATAGATTGGTAAAGGAGACACAGCAAGAAAGTAGTTATAACATCGAAAGAAAAGCCATAGACCCAGTATGGCGAAAAGTTAAGTGAAACCTCATGACCTCACCAAGAGAGGTCTACAAGAAGGTAAAGGAAATGAGAGTAAGAGAAGAACCATATGTACCCACCACTGTTATCAACAATACCAATGAAGAAGCTCTACACGAAGAGAAGGAAATAATAAAGAGATGGAAATACTATTTTCAAGAACTAGTGAACCCTTCAGGAGTACAGGCACAAAACACACAGTGCCCCTTCATCGCCAGCTGCCCAGAGCACTCAGAACCTACCATTTAGGAGAGTGAAGCGAGAGAAGCACTGAAGACTAGTCAAAAGAACAAGGCAGCTGGAGACGATGGCATCACAACCGAAGCCATCCTTGCATGCGGTGAAACTGGGAATACACTGGCTTAGTCATCTTCCAGAAAGCTTGAAAAGAGAGAAAAGTACCAGCAGACTGGCAAAATGTGATAGTGGTGCCAGTATGGAAGAAAAAGGGCAGCAAGAAAGACTGTAACACGTATAGAGGCATATCTCTTCTCAGCCATTCGTGGAAAATGTATGCAAAGATCCTAGAGCAACGCTTTCGCGCAAAAGCCGAACATCTTCTCAGAGATGTCCAGTTTGGTTTTAGAATTTAAGGAAGAGGGTGCACTGATGCAATCGTTGCACTCTGGCAACTGTGGGAGAGGGCATTGGAATACGACCAAGATCTCCACCTCGTATTTGTGGATCAGAAAAAAAGCTTTTGATCGAGTAAATAGAAACAAGCTATGGAGATCCTTGAGCGGTGCGACATCGAGGGACAACTGCTAGACAACATCAAGGCTATCTTTGCCAACAGCAGAAGCGCAGTCAACAATACCAGTGGAACATCGGGCTGCTTTCCAGTAACATTCGGAGTCAGGCAGGGCCGCAATCTCTCCCCTCTGCTCTTCGTGATCTACATGGACCAGATTACTAAGGAGGCCAATCCAGACCAAGAGACACCAAACGAACTCATGTTTGCAGACGACCTGGCAATAATGAACAACAAGACTCATTTACAGGAGCATATGATCCATCTAAACGTGAGTTGCATGAAATATGACATGAAGATCAGTGTTAACAAGACAGAGGTTAAGACAGTTAGCAGGAGACCAGACAAAGTGGATATCAATATCAATGGATCCCAACTAAAACAAAGCAGCGAATTCAAATACTCGGGCAGCATTTTTCTCAGAAAATAGAACATTAGATCGAGAAATAGAGACTAGATGCCAGAAAGCCAATACAGTCAGCTATCAACTCGCAACTCTCCAGAAACATCCCAATATTACCATGAGGCCCAAGGCGAAACTCATCAACTCCATTTTCCTACCAACACTTACATATCAGTGCCAGGCATGCTCCCTAACAAAAGCCATGGAGAGGAAGCTGGTCACATGCGAGATGAAATGTTTAAGAAGAGCGACTAACAAGACAAGAAAAGACAAACTAAAAAATGAAATCATAAGGGACACGGTAGGAGCAACACCAGTCCTACTACACAATGCAAAACAAAAGATCAAGTGGTTCGGACACGTCACACGGATGCCCCCAAACCAACCAGCTCTGGGGGCATATAACATCAAATGTTCTGGCTTGAGAGCCAGAGGAACATCAAAACGACGCTGGAGTGTATCTGTAGCAGACACCCTCAGAGCTCACGGGATGTCCCTCCTACAGGCCACTCTCCTTGCTTCAGACAGACGCCTGTGTCTCCCCGCGACCCCCATCGGTACAAGCGGAAGAATAAAGTAAAAATAAAGTAAGTATAATAATAATAATAATAATAATAATAATAATAATAATAATAATAATAATAATAATAATAATAATAATAATAATAATGATGATGATGATGATGATGATGATGATGATGATGATGATGATGATGATAATAATAAGGATAATAATTATAAAAATAGTGATAATACATGCATATAGTATAAGCTCTGAGGTAGACAAACAGCTGTAGGTGCGGAGAAAAGACGTCATCCCCATACAACATAGAGGAGATTTGTGAGAGGTGTTTCACCAGTTTTAGAGATTACGCTCCTAACACTGGGAAGGTCTCTGGACGAACAAACAAATGAAAGTACTACCCCTACCTGCATTAACTTGATGAACTTCCAGCAGCCTGTCGCCATCGGGAATACTGTGAAGGAGATAAAGCTATGCCGCCTTGCCGACATCACGGATAGGTCAATAACCATGATGTTTTAGATGTGTTGATGCCGGCATTTTCAACACGGCTAACCCTAGCCTACACATTTTTTTCTCGGAGTGGGGGCAGAGGGATTAAGTTACTGGGTTAGGTTTTTGTAGTTCTTTTAAGTTTTAGTGCTGTCGGAATCTTTTAATGCCATTCTTTTCAGAGCCTTTATGTCCACAGAATTTGAAATAAAAGCCATTTTATCATCATTTGTCAATTCTAGCAGTGTATTTTTTGTTTAGTCGTCCAAGGTAGTCAGTGATTAAAGAACTAAGATGTAAGCCTAAGCTCCTCCGTGGTGGAGCCGTCGTAGTGGCAGCTTCCCATTACCTCTTGAGATAAATCAGAGCCGTAACATTGAAATATAGTGTTGATTTCATGGTTATTGTTTTAACATTGTGCTCTTCTGCTTCTTCTGCTACTTTTGCGATCGTTCAGTGATTGTTTATCTTCCAGTTTCCCCTTTCAGTACACATTATAACACGTGGAATACACTTTGTATCAAAGACGACATCTTATACTACACTATCTTTATCATGCTGGAGAGTTGATGAACCATAGAAAATTGTGCCACTGCTCCATCACTTCAAAAGGTTGTATTTTAAACAATAGTGTATGTGCCTGAAGAAAAGAATCAAAAGTCAGTTTGCCTTTTTTTTTAAAGATTAGTAGTACCATTTTTTTCTTGCAGACATAAATGTTTATACATGTTGATATTCATAGTGTAGGGCAATTTCCAGTTGATATTTAGAGATACTTACAAAATAAATGAAGGAATACCCTTGTATATTTTAGATCAGATATGGTAGCATTATTGTTTGTTTGAACCTACTAAAAACGGGGACACGTTTTGGTCAAAAGTCTGATGTTTTGCTTTATCTGCATGTAAATGACGAATCTCGAAATGATATGAGCTGACTTTTCATTACTTTCTACTCACGCATACTCATGCGTGCGCGTACATACACACACACACACACACACACACACACACACACACAAACACACGCACGAACACACACACAAACACACATTAATATTGCACATTGTAAAACAGAAGACAAATCACAGATACATTTGAGATATTTCTTCACTTTATATAATGTCCCCTACATGACTGTTAGGATTGGTTACACTGTACAATTCATAGTTATGTGGAACATTTTGCTTACTACGTCTTGAGTCATTGGTATACGAGAAAGTAATATCAGTATGTGCCCTTGCCTTTGTAGTACTAATTTGATAGCTTAATATTTTTTATCTATTAGACTGGGTACTTTCTATTCAACTTTCCAACGTCTGGCAGCTTCGGGCAATTGTGGTGTACATCTGCCATCAAGCCATCAAAAGTCAGTTTGCCCTTCCTCCACTTGGTAAGACGCACAAGAGATTGTCTTAAAATCCCGATGGTCTCTACTAACAAAAAGTTCTAGATGGGCTTTATCAAGAGCTTCTCAGCCCCGATTAGAAATTATGAAAGAAGTGAGTAAGTAGTAGTAATTTTATTGAAAACAGATTTAAAAAACAACAGCAACAACAACAGCAAAAAAACAACAACAAACAAACGAACAAACAAACGCTATTCAAGACTTTTTTATTAGCATGCAATAGACCAAGTTTATTTCTGAAAACTATTTCCCAAACATGGCTTTGTAGTTAATTTTGGTTGGGATCGACTGGTTTTATATCTATGAAGTAAAATCTTAAACCAATGCCCCACAAAGTGTTTAGTCTGCAATACCTTTTATGGAAAAGCTATAGGCTTCCTTGCTCTTCTACAGATCTTGCGACCACACTTTGACATACAGCATTTCTGTTTTTTTCTACATTGGCTGTCCGTGGCACACGGGCGGGATCGCCTTTTCTCTCTCTTGCAAGCTCGTTTGTTAGGCTTCCTTTTTGGCACACGAGGACACGTTGCATTGCTGAGCACGCAGACATGACGTTTCCTGCACTTTCGGCATCGTTTGCGCAAGGCACATTCCCTGCCGGGCTTACATTTTGGACAACCCTGTTTACGCACACACTTCTTTCTGTGCTTACATTCACTACCATCAGATGGGCATTTCGAGGTGAGTTTACATTCGCGGCGGCGTCCACATTTCTTATTGCAAACAGGAACACACTCCGCCTTGGCCATCTTACGACAGAGCTTACCACGACCGCAAGTGTCTGTGATCATTTTGCATTCCGTCCCGCCAGGACACTGCAGGTCATTGCAGGAGTTTGGTCTGACGTCAGCACATCTTTCTAAGCTGGGACACGTAGGTGAAACACAGTCTTGGGATTCACTTTCCAGGCACACGGCTGGTAACGGGCAAGGAGGTTGGAGACTCTCGCACTGGAAACCTTGGCGACATTCCTTACTGCAGGCAGATACACATTCAGGTCGTGCCGGTTCACAAGACTGTCCATAATGGCAGGGAGGCTTGACCATCTCACATGTCGTGCCCGTTCCACAACGGACGTTGGCACAGGTTATTGGGAAAACGCAGGTGGCGATGGGCTCACATTTGCTTTCGGGGCAGTATGCCTCAGGATCCTCCCTCCGGAGTGCCTCACAGTCAACAGGTGGAGGGCAAGGGGGGTAGAAAACTTCGCAAACTTGACCTGCAAACACATTTTGCGAGAACCTGTGTTAGTCATGGAAGCTATAAGCAATTTGATCACGAGTTAATAGTTCAAACGATAAAGAAATACCCGGTCCCACCATTGTCACTTTGATTCTCCTACACCCCCCCATTTTCCAGTGATAAGCTCCCGAATACTAAAGTATGAGTGGAAAAAGATCTAATTAGGAATCTATCATTACCGCTACATGTTATGAGGTTGTCAAGTTGGTGCCTATCATTTATAGCGAGGGACATAGATATTCTTCAAGTCTGTACTAAATGAAGAAGATTACTCATATATGATATTATTATAATGTTTTAATATATGTGAGGCAGCGTGGCGGAATCAGGCTCTCGTCAAAATAGTCAAAAGGTGACCTTATTTAGGCCACATATGGCCTAAATATGCTACCCCTAACCTTATTTAGGCCACATATAGTCTAAATAAGCTAACCCCCCCCCTCCTTTACCTTATTTAGGCCACATGCATGGCCGATTTCTTGATCTAACCATGGATTCGCAACAAGTTGGAGATTCTACAGATCTTTTTGTTTTGGGCCGGGGATTATTTCAAAATAGAGAAATGATACTGAATGAAAAGTGGACTACGGGTAGGAGTTCCGTGTGTGTGTGTGTGTGTGTGTGTGTGTGTGTGTATGTGTGTGTGTGTGTGTATATATATATATATATATATGTGTGTGTGTGTGTGTGTGTGTGTGTGTGTGTGTGTGTGTGTGTTTGTGTGTGTGTGTGTGTGTGTGTGTGTGTGTGTGTAAGTGGGTAGGTGTGTATGTATGTGTTTGTTTGTGTGTGGTTGTGGTGAGAGAGAAATCGAGAGAGAGAGAGAGAGAGAGAGAGAGAGAGAGAGAGAGAGAGAGAGAGAGAGAGAGAGAGAGAGAGAGGGAGAGAGAGAGAGAGACAGAGAGAGAGTAAATGTAATAGTGTGTTTGTATGTGTGTGTGTGTGTAATGTGTGTAAGTGCGTGAATGTGATTGTGTGCGTGAGTGTCTAACTGTGTTGAACGTTCCAAATGTACATTATTTTGTTGAGGATTTTACATAGAGCTCAACTACAAACACCTCTATAAAAAGTCACAGAAATATTCTTTTTGTACTTATTGAGGTACAGTACAGGGTGGTTTTAACCCACGAGGATAATCGAACAAAATGGGCAATATCTTTACTGCTAATGATCATATTTAGACAAATCCTATATCATTCTCTTTTTTTCTTAACTGCTCATAATTATTAAATGGTAAGCCAACTAGGGAGGGGAGTAATTTCCTAATGTTATGGGTACTCTAAAATTTTAAAACTTGTTTTTAGCGCTTTTCTAAGTGTAAAACGGATTCCTTAAAAAAAAAACCCCAATGACCTTATCTTTCTTTTTCAAAGTATTGTGCATACATTTGTGTGAATCAAGACCCCGGGGTCCACAAATCCTTAATAAAACCTGCTTATTTCACTATGGTGACCTCGGGGTCCACCAATGTTTAAAGAAACCTACTTATTTCACTACAGTGACCCCGGGGTCCACCTTAAACCTGCCTATTTCACTACAGTGACCCCGGGGTCCACCTTAAACCTACTTATTTCACTACAGTGACCCCAGGGCCCACCTTAAACCTACTTATTTCACTACAGTGACCCCGGGGTCCACCTTAAACCTACTTATTTCACTACAGTGACCCCAGGGTCCACCTTAAACCTACTTATTTCACTACAGTGACCCCGGGGTCCACCTTAAACCTGCTTATTTCACTACAGTGACCCCGGGGTCCACCAATGTTTAAAGAAACCTGCTTATTTCACTACTGTGACCCCGGGGTCCACCTTAAACCTGCTTATTTCACTACAGTGACCCCGGGGTCCACCTTAAACCTGCTTATTTCACTGCGTTGACGCGGAGTCAACCGATCCTTACTTAAACTAAACCTACTTATTTTACTATGGTGACTCCGGGGTTCACATCCTAAAACCTAGTATTTCGTTATGCAGACCGCGGGGTCCACCTATCCTGTACAGGACAATGATCAATTAGCAATTTTCATTGATTAGCATAATTTAAAAAAAAAATTGAATCACAGACTCTCTGTCTAAAAAGTTCACTGCTAATTCTCTTCTTATTATCAACGAAAATGACACAATTTGATAATTAAAAAGTTTTTAAAATATCCAGAAAATAACATTAAATGATTATATATATTTTATTATGTATACTGAAAGTCTGATCAGAGGCTTACAATTTAAACTCTGTGCTCTACTACGATTGGTAAAGAAAATCTTAAGTTTGCACACAACAGATTTTATAATTTTTGGATCTAATTATTCTAATAAAAGTAAAAGTGATTGTTATGCTGAGATTTGATATTATATTAACTCTGAAAATATAGTTAGATGCTGAATCTAAAATTAACTAGAACTGTGCAATTTGTTTTATTTCAATTCAAAAGCCCAAAGGCATATATATATAGCAATAAGTTAGATCTAGCAGTTGTAGGCTCTCTGGCTGCTTCTAGCCTAGATCTTCTAGGCCTACTACTACTGATTCTAGACAGGGAATCTAGATTTAGCTATCACCTGCACTATTCAAAAGTCAAATAATTATGGTAAAATAAAAACAAAACTTTGAACTGTTTTGTCAGTCAGTACATCCCAATTGCCTTAGCTGCATGTATAATAGTTGAATAATGCGATGCCGAAGCAACACGTTATCACAGTGTGCAGGGGCGAGCAGGGTGCCCGGGGCGCTGACCGGTCGATTCGTCTTTTGTAGATCTATGCATTTTTACGGAAAGCCCTATTACTAGATCTATTAGTGTTGTGAAAACTTCAACCTATACAGCTCAGGCGTCAAAATATGTTGGAAAATAATAATACGTCCTGAAGTTTCATATACAGAATAACATAGCCAGTAGTTTTAATTTCATCGTGTTGTAAAGATTGCCTTGATTTCAGACGCAAATTTTAATATTTCCAGTTCTTCCGAATCGATTGTCACGCGAATACAACCACTTTGATGATCTTTCATTTCCTTTTAAAAAGATGTAGCCCTGTCGGATGTGGCAGTGCGATTAACACTGAGTTAATTAGACCCATCAAAACACGAGGCTTCGTTGCCGATCACAAAAGTCTACGGGGCGTATCGAGGCCAATTCGCCCTGCCGCGTGCACGTTCACTAAACTGCCTTCTAGTTCTAGATCTACTACCAAAGATTCTCTACACGATCTTTGCTACTACTACTGCATGTACTACTACGAGACAGTACGAGAGAGTGCCACTCACGCAAAGACTCAGCCACGTTGTGTACACACTTTTTATACACCAAATTTGACCCGGAAGTCCATTCGAAGGATTTGACCTTTTCACTTGACCAAAGTGTACCAAAATGGTAGCCTAGCTTTTGCCCCTCTCATTCAAACCATTGTGATTGAGCAAAATTTTGCGTATTGTGCTTTGTTCTTACAATTTTCATTATGATTATGATTTATAAGTTGTACACTGAGACAAAACTGTACTAAATGAGAAAGGTGCACCATTATGAAAGTGGAACGAATTCAGTTGCGTGAAAAGGGTAGTTTGAGCATATACGTGGCCTAAAAAATGTTCCGGGGAGGGGGAAAACCTTATTCTGTGGCCTAAATAATGTTAGGTGGAAGGATTGACCTTATTTAGGCCATATTTGGCCTAAATTAGCACTCACATAATCAAAGTGAAGAAACTTGCATTTTTCCGCAGGTTTGTGAATTTTTATCCAATGTTTGTTTTTTGGCTCAACACCTTTCATGCCCATTAAAGAACTCATTTCTATGTGAAGTTTTCTGAAAAACGTTGATTAAAGGCACAAAAACATGTAAATTTTCAGTTACCACTGACTCTTACGCAAAGGAAATAACTAATCTTTGGCGGCCATTTTCTCACTAATTTTACCTCTGAAAACAGGTGACCCCAACCTCATTCTTTCGCAAATATCTCGACTTGTATTCAAGATAAATAGATATTTTTTCATCCAAATAAAGACAAGTGAACAAGCTGTAAGATGATACCAATAACTCTACATGCCCAAACATTGACGAGAGCCTGATTCTACCACGCTGCCTCACATATTTTGTTTTACATTGCAAGTCCTGTCAGAAAAAGAACGACTTACACAATAAGTTGATGCATAAGCATCAGTGTGTCACTTTTTATTTCCAGTTTCCAAATCTATAAGAGGATAATGAATATTGTACTTAATACATTGCAGACATATATAGATCTATACTTTCACTTGTTTTTTTGTTTTTTTGGTGTGTGTGTGTGTGGGGAGGGGGGGGGGTAGGTGTTGGATTTTTTTTTTTATTGTTGTAAACCTAGAGCGTAACATTTGAACAAAGAAAATAGATTGCGACTCAAACTCCAAATATTTAAGCCTATGAGACGATAACAATACATATAAACGTTGAGAAAAGAGTACATGTAATACGCAATGATGTTAATATTATGTCATCTCAATACTAGAGAAATTGTTTGGCTAAATAAAGTATAGTAAAGATTACAGGCAGCAACAATCGAAGGGAAAGTAAAAGTGAAAGTTATAGTTCACATTTATGTTTATGCCGTCTCATCAATGGTTCAAATTATGTCATGAGCTACTTTTTCCGACCAGTTTATGACAAATCAATATCTTAGGTTAACATTAGAGACTAAAACGAGATCTTTCATCTTGCTATATTTTTTTCTCTATGATATTTGCTGAGACTTCATTTGCGCTGGCTGAAAAAGAGGAAATACATGTACAGAAGTTTCCCTAAGGATACGACGTCTTAGTCGGGTGAGCGTTCCATCAACCATTACTTTACGAATTCGACTCATGCGCTATAATAGATATCCACAGAGCATGCCTTTCAATTTCCGAACTACGATGAAAAATGAACGTTACTTGTCAGATTTCAACAGTGATGGTGAAAAAAATAAAATATATTGCTACTAGTTTAATAAACATCCTTTTCGTTTGGTTTGCTATGACACTGTCACGTGCAAATGTCAAAATAACAAAGTGTTTAGAGGGGACTAAAGTCGACAAGCAAAAAGGATATCTCGGTTTTCACGAGAACAAGCCAGTAATGATTTTTTTTCCTGTAGCTGACTGTGCATTTACTAACAATATCTAGTGTCGAATACTCTGGGAGTCATCGTATTTCTGATAACAGGCTTGAAACAGTCGTTGCATCAGTTGGTGTTGGTTTTTTTTGCCCGTTTAAAACAAAAAATGTTCCTATTGTGATTGTTGTGAAGGGTAGCTGCTCCAGGCCAGAAACTGGGTTATCCACATATTTAATTCAAATGAATAAATGTTCTCTCCGAGGTTCACTAAATTTTTTCATTTTGGAAAAAGATCTATATTGGTCCTCCATTCGGAAACTGCTTGACTTACTACGCACAACTGACGCCTTTTTTCTCTGAAGGGACAAAAATTGTTTCTAGTTCTATGAGATATTAATTTATTTTTAAAAGATATTGCCTACCTCACGAGGACCTTCCCCAGTCAGGTAGACTTTTACCCTACTTGAGGTTTGTAATGATGACAGGTCCTGAAGTTATGTTGGTAAATATTTTAATACACCAAATTAACCAAATCCAAAAGGAGAAAGCTTAATGTTATGCCCTTTTATTGCATTTTACTCTTTGTTGCACTTCATGGTTTGTTGAAGGTCTTAATTTTTCTTATTATTTAAGGAGAACAAAAACCCCGTAATATCTGGAAATCACAAAATTAAGCCCAGCCCTCCTCAAAAAGAAGCATCCCGTGTCGAGTGGGGTATTAACAATACTTGTAAAAAGTGTTGAGACGTTCTTACCATTTAAACATCCTCCGCACTCATTATCATCCACACACTCGTGATTGTCACAGGGATGTTTCACACATACTATGTCTGTTCGTTTACAAATCTGCGAAAAAAAGATACAGGCTAGAATCGGTGTGCTGTGGTGTTAAGAGAATGTTTGTTCTCTTGCACACTTAAGACATTAGTTTGAGTTCGACAAGGAGGATGGGATCGGGAATGCGTTACAGAGTATCACTGTGACTTTTGACTGGATGTCATATCCCACAACGCATGATTTGGCACTGGGAAGCAAAGGTCGAACCCACTTTGATTTCGGTGCCTTAACAACTGATCTATAGGAATGCTTTCTAAATAAACAATAATATGATTTCCGTTGATTTAAAGAGATAGTGTAACAATACAGCAAGCTCAAACTGAAATATCAACTTCAAGAACAAGTAGTAACATTCTACAACAGTTCATCACTATGCACCTGCCTCTATATACTCAAGATTTTACAATAGGCGTGAATACTAATAGACATGAAGTACATATTTGAATAGCTTTTGTGTTCTGTATGTATAATGATGATCTATAAAAACAAGTGTTATATAACTAACTGAATTAACGTTCACACACAGTAGTCTATTACTATTAAATAGGTACTAAATTTTTACAGAAACGTATCAAAATACCTAAACTGTATGAAATCAAAATCAGAGGCCGCAAATAGACCCGCTGTTTGCCAGAGAGATCGACAAATGCTTTAACGAGTGAATTGCTCATACAAATGTGTGAGGCATCATGGTGAAATCAGGCGCTTGCCAAAAAAATAATGAAATCAAAGAAACCGACATTTTCCCCCCGTTTGGTTAATCTTTTTTTAAATTGAATTCTGGGTTGGGTTTTATTTTTTCGGTTTTTTTTTGCTCAGCACCTTTTATGCTAATATAACATCACATTTCGTATGAATTTTACTGAGTAACGTTGATTAAAGGCACAAGAAATTTGAATCTTCAGTTTCCAAGGACTCTCCAGATATGGAAGTGACTGAACTTTGGCGGCCATTTCTCGCATATTTTACTTCTGAAACCAGGCAATCGCCATCTCTTTCAATTGCAAATATCTCGACTTCATTTTGGGTTAAATTGGTATTTCTTTATAATCGAACATCAAGACAAATAAACAAGATTCAAGACAACACCAACAAACCCACATGCCCCCCCAAAAAAAGAAAAGAAAAACCAAACAACAAAAAAAACAACTCACGAGTGCCTGAATCCATCATGTAATGACATAATTATTATGAACTTTAAAGAGGTGTGGCTAGGGGTACAGATCCAGCCATCACTCACCTTTCCCTTTGGGCAGCCCCCGCAGGAGTCGGGCCCACAGCGGTTTCTTGAAGCACAGAAGGGATCAGACAGATCGCTGTATACGGCGCGCTTTTTCCTCGATTGTACAACTTCATGTATTGGTATTGGTGCTTGTATGGCAGAGGCACAGACTTGAAGTTTATGGCACTGTTGGCCCTGTCCACAGTGTGCGTCTTCGGTACACTCGTCTTGGCTCCCCATGGCGCAAAAAATCCTAGAATGTTAGATGGGACAACAGGATAATCAATAATAAGTGATTGCCTGATACAATACCTTAGCTCTTCATGGGCTACATAATATATAATATTGTCACACACAGACACACACACACACACACGCACACACATACACACACACACACACACACACACACACACACACACACATACACACAAACGCACACTTACACACATATGTATATATTTATTCAAGTATGGCACACCGCATAAGGATCAAAATGCGACATTGAATGAAATAAATGAATGCCCAAGCTTTCTCTTTCCGATGCACGATTAATATCAATAGTGCCCGATTGAGAAAGTAGGTGAGACTGTAAATGGGTAGATTTTACATGCATTGTATAGAAGAAAACTGTTCTGTAGTTTTATCTACAATGAATATTGGCCAAATTCCTGTTGGGTTTCAAATATTGTGTTCAGATTTGAAATGCGAATGATCCATGTGGAGAGATAAAAACAACCTGTAGCAGACACTGACGATTATGGAAAGGTTATATAGTTGTTGTCCTTCATCTATCCTTGATCCCAATAGAACTCTCCATTTTATAAAGATCAGCAGTCATTAATAAAAGATTGCGAAAAAAGATACTGAAAATGCCATCTTCGCCCTAAAGATTCTCATGGAAAGATTTGAGGTACAGAAAGACCTTTACCCCAGCATTATCGACAATTCTAAAGCATCTGACAAAGTGAGACATAAAAAAGCAACTATTCAAAGATCCTAAGAGATTTGAACATAGATGGACAAGACCTTAAAATAGAGAGAAACTTTATCAAAATTTGGAACAATAGGCAGCAATCAGGATCGACAAGGAGCTCAGCGAATACGGGCCAATCCGCAGGTGAGTACGACAAGGATGTGTCTAGTCTGTTACGTAATATCAATGATATAGGAGAAGTCCAGGCAGGCGGCTACAATATATTTTTTGTTAACTACCTACAGCACACTAAGTATATACAGTCTTGATAACTGACTCTGAGTCTAAGCTGTAAGTAAGTCTAACAAGAGTGACAAAGAAAAGTGAAAAGAATGGCCTACTACTAAACGTCAAGAAAACAGAAGGCTTCAAAAGCGTTGACATCCAGCGATGTAACATCACACGTAAGAAGGATAACTTTAAATATTTTGGTTGCATACTTACGCCAGATGCAAAACACGACACAGATAATAAGGAAAAGCAATTTAGATCCCAAGCGCTCATGACATAAGCTTATTATGTATTATAATTTAGACTGACTAACCTTGGTTTGTCGCATATTTCTGGTCCATCATAGCAGGGTCCTTGTCTTTTAACTTTACGGCACTCCTGGTGAGGTCTGCAAGCCTCGCATGCGATTGGCACACATGTTGGTACAAAGGCTTGGATACACACCATTCCGGGTTGGCAATCAGGTGTTTTCATGAGACAGGTTTCTCCTATGAAGGGAAAAAGGCAGAAAAAGTAAGTGGTGAGTGTGTATTCATACGTCTATGCATATATATGTCCGCCTATGCCTACATGTGTGTGAGTGTGTTTGTGTGAGTGGGTGTGTTTGTGTGAGTGTTTTCACATTGTTTGTGTGTGAGTCTGAAGAAAAGAGAGAGATAGAGATAGCGATAGAAAAATAGAAAAAGAGAAAGAGAGAGATAGATAGAAAGAGAGAGAAAGAGAGAGATAGCGAGATAGATAGATAGATAGATAGACAGATAGATAGATAGATAGATAGAGAGAGAGAGAGAGAGAGAGAGAGAGAGAGAGAGAGAGAGAGAGAGAGAAAAGGGGAAAGACAATACGACTCTATAGCTACCCACAACAAGAACTCGTTTGTCAAAACATTTTAATCCAAGAAATACGTATTTATGAATGTTATTGTCGTGAGTGCATCGGTCAGTTTAGGCAAACCTCTTGGTGACAACATCAAACAAGGACGGCAATGGCATGCTTTGAATAATTATTTATTTACGTTTCCGACAGTAAAATTTGAGATTAATGACAATTTGGGATGGAAAACTAAAACCAAAAAAAAGTAGTTAAATTATATGCTCAGATAGATAGATAGATAGATAGATAGATAGATAGATAGATAGGTAGATAGATAGATAGATAGATAGATAGATAGATAGATAGATAGATATCTAAGCCTTATCTAAGCATGAAAATCATCAAGCAATGCTCTTCCGATAAATGTGTTTGACGTTAAAACCAAGTGACTCACCTTTTGGACACTCCTTGTCACATCTCGTCACTTGCACTGGTTTGACGCACCTTAAGCCACACCCCTTACAACACTTTTCGTCCCCGGCACATTCTGCGTCAGAGGTGCATTCTTGTCCAGCACACATAATCCCATCATTCTGGACATTTCGAAAATATAAACTATACACTTCGGTTCAATTCCTCCCCCCCCCACCCCGACCCCTCACACACACCCAAATACGAAAGCCGACACTCATGCACGCACATGCACGCACACGCACACGCGCGCACGCACGTACAAACGCACATATACACACACACACACACACTCTCTCACTCACGACATGCACACACACACACACACACACACACACACACACGAACGCACACACATGCACGCACCCCCCCCCCAACCCATGCACACATTGTGGTTTAATCAGGCGCTATAGTCAAAATAATGAAATCGAAGATAAAGGCATATTTCCGACGGTTTGGCAAGTTTTCTAAATTATTTTTTTTTTTGCTTTCTTATTAAAAATACATTTCATTGTGTGAGTACTGAAAAACGTTGACTATAGGCACACAAAATGTAAATTTTTAGTTTCCAAGGAATCTCCGGCTTTGGAAGTCTCCAAACTTAGGCGTCTATTTTCTAGCCAATTTTACTTCTGGGGCTAGGGGACCCCCACCTCCTTAAATCCCAAATATCTCCACTTCTATTCAAAATAGATGGGTAATTTTTTCATCGAATGCAAGAAAAATAAACAAGCTTTAAGAGGATACCAATAACTTCATATGTGAGGCTGCGGGGAGAAATCAGGCACTCGTCAAAATAATGAAGGTGAAGAAACTGGCATTTTTCTGCAGGTTTAGGAATTTTTATCGAATTTGTATTTTTTAGCTCAACACCCTCCATGTCAATTAAAGAACAGATTTATATGTGAATTGTACTGGAAAAACGTCAATTAAGGGCATAAAAGTGTAAATTATCTGTTTACAGGGACTCTCAAGCTAAGGAAATAACTAAACTTTAGATATCATTTTCTCACTAATTTTACCTCTGAGACCAGGCGCTCCCAACCTATTTCAATCACAAATATCTTGATTTGGATTCAAGACAAATTGATATTTTTTCCATCATAAGCAAGAAAAAATTTAAAAAGCTTAAATGTGATATCAATAACCCCACATGCCCAAAAATTGACGAGCGCCATGACACATATGCCAAAAAATTGTAGAGCGTTTGAATCAACCATGTTGTTATATATATATATATAGACACACACACAAACACACACATACACACCCACACCCGCACACACACACATATATACATGTACTCAACAACAAAAGTTACGCAAGTCATATAGCTACTTAAAGACGCGGGTGTTTAGTTACCTACATTCGCTAGAATGTAGGCCGTGGTCGACTTTTTAAAATTCAGTAATGCTGTGAGCTCATGTCATCAAGCTGAAAAATGCTTACAGTTTAAAATGACGTCATAATATATGGCAGCAAAGAAAAAATGCAAACCGAGTATTTTGTTGAGCAGTTTTTATCCTCTGAAAAGTGTTCATCCGTCATCCGACCAAGGGGTATAATTTGACAGGACGTAAAACTTTCTTCAGTCGAGTGTTTTGAGCAAGTGACCATGCCACGACTCATCGAAGCAAATCGAGAAAGGGCTATCGGCAGATTTCAGGCGGGAGAGAGTCCAAAAGATGTGTCAATTGCCATGGGGGTGTGCCTCTCAACAATATATCGACTCCGAAGATGTTTTCAAGTTACTGGAAATACTCGTGATGCTCACAGAACTGGCCAACCACGAGTGACGTCAGTACGCCAAGACTGTGCCCTTCTGCCGAATCACCTGCTATACAGCTTAATGAGTCTATATTGACGGCTAGGTATATATGAGTGTGTGTATATACAGTATAATATAATATAATTTATATAATATATTATATTATATATTGATATTATGTACAATATAATTTATATAATATATTATATTATATATTGATATTATGTACACACACTATTTGTATGTGTGTCTATTGTGTGTGTGTGTGTGTGTGTGTGTGTGTGTGTGTGTGTGTGTGTGTGTGTGTGTGTGTGTGTGTGTGTGAGTGTGTGTGTGTGTGTGTGTGTGTGTGTGTGTGAGTGTGTGTGTGTGTGAATTCAATTCAGGTCTCCTGCATTCGACAGCGACGCGCGTAAACACGACAGCACAAACGTCGGTATAGATAGATATATAGATAGATAGATAGATTGAATGATAGAAGACAGATAGATAGACAGATAGATAGATAGATAGATAGATAGATAAACAGACTGATATATAGATAAATAGATAGATAGATAGATAGAAAGACAGATCCCTTGAGCATCACACGCAAGAGACCAGAGTTGTATCCCTTTCTGCTTTGATCAGCCCTGACTCGCAAGGTCAGACGCATGCCCTCTTAACTCGAATTGATCTAGATCTAAATGCGTGGATGGGGGCGTAAGAACACCTACATCACAAGAAAGGACAGCAGCGAGAAACCCAACCTGCAGTATCACCACCAACAACGGCTAAAACAGGAACAACAACAATAAGAGCAACAACAAAAGTAACAATGTAGTATGGTTATGGCTAGTGAGATTCGTTTGAATTTTACTTATCTTATCAGGGCGCAATCTCCTAATCGTTTATTTTCTGTTGTTTTTATTCTTATTAGTAATGTATAAGAATTAGTCACGAGAACAAAATAGTAAGGGTAGAGAGGAAACAGTACGAGGTGATTTTGAATTCTGTCGTTGGAGTGAGCATAGGAAAATGTTTAATGTGTCCCGCATACTCATAATATTACCTTATGTAGTTGCGAGCGCCGTAAAACACGTACCTAAAGAAAAAAATAATAAAACAATTGAAGAAACCAAACTAGTAATTAGACGATGGTTTAACATGGGGCATAATCACGATGACATACCATGGGACACAATCCAGGCTTTGAAAAATCAGGTTTCCCCGTACAGCAAGTTCCTCCATTGTTTCCATCATTCACACACGCTGAGCCAGGTGGGCAATCCCTGTAAAGAAACAGAGTGGAATAGTTTCTGATAATGATATTATCTTTGTGTTGATGTCTGTCTGTCTGTCTGTCTGTCTGTCTGTCTGTTTGTCTGTCTGTCGGTCTGTCCGTCTGTCTCTCTCTCGCTCTCTCTCTCTCTCTCTCTCTCTCTCTCTCTCTCTCTCTCTCTCTGTGTGTGTGTGTGTGTCTCTCTCTCCCCCCCCCCCTTCTCTCTCTCTGTCTCTCTCTCTCTCTTTCCGTGTACTTTTAATAACAAAAACAATAAACTAATAAAATTAGCGAATGATTCCACTCTACAAGGCCTTCAAACAACAAATAGGATAATGAATTCAGGGACGCTGTAGATGTATTTACAAATTGGTGTGATAACCACTTTCTTTACTAACGTAAAAGGGACAAAAAAATTAATAATATACTTAAGAGTAAACAAAAAAAGACCATTTGTAAACTCTTATTAATATCTTAAAATGTCATTTGACAACGAGCTTGACAGGCATCCCAACGCTGCTTTTGTGCTTAAAAACATAAATCAAAGATTTTTCCTTTTACGGAAATTAAGAAGTTTTCGTGTTGATATTATTATGCCCCTGTTATACAATTCTATGATTGAAAACGTGTTATTTTTTTGTATTTGCTGCTGTGCAGGGAATTCTAGAGTTGAAGATATAGAGAAATTTGACAAAACCATCAAGAAAGCCAGCAAGATCCCTGAATATGATTTTACTAGAATTGATGAGATGTATAAGATCACAGGTATAAAAAAAGATAAAAAGCATTGTAAACGACACATCACACCCCTTTTCCACTCAAATTGTAAATCACGCAGCGGCAGATTTAGTACCTCTAAAAAGACAGAGAAAGATATAAAAGAAATTGTTTTTACCATCTAGCTATTACGGGTATTGTTAGAATAAGTTTCAATATGTATTGCCTTTTCGAGTTTGTATCTATAATTTTAAAGGTCTTTAAAATACATTCCTGCATGTGGTTGAATAAAGCATCTGAAGTGATAGATCTATGTGTACATTTTGTCTGCTATATTTTTCTTTTTACATTGGATGCTGGTGAGAGTAATATATCTTTTAAGTTTTTATGTACGCCTACATGTGTCTTTTACGGTCCAGCACATCCAAGAAAAATTCACCGGTGGGATAATAACGTATCACATTTTTTTAACCGTATCTTACTTTCCCTTATCTTATCTTATCTATCTTATCTTATCTTAATTTAACTTATCTGATCTTATATTATCTTATCTTATCTTTTTCTCTCTCTCTCTTTCACTGTGTGTATGTGTGTGTGTGTCTGTGTGTGTATATATATATATATATATATATATATATATATATATATATATGTGTGTGTGTGTGTGTGTGTGTGTGTGTGTGTGTGTGTGTGTGTGTGTGTGTTTTCTCAATCTCGCTCCCTGTCTCTACTCTCTATCTTTCTCCCTTTTTCCATCTCTGCTCTTTTTATATCTCAGTTCTTGCCCCCGCTCCTTCTCTCTCTCTCTCTCTCTCTCTCTCTCTCTCTCTCTCTCTCTCTCTCTCTCTCTCTCTCTCTCTCTTTCTCTCTCTCCTTCTCTCTCTCTCTCTCTCTCTCTCTCTCTCTCTCTCTATCTCTCTCTCTCTGGCATCGTGTGGCTTCCGCCTGAAACATCGACTCGGTGTTACGTTAACGACAAAATGTCAGGTGTAGTCACCACTGTGTGGTATTTGTACGAAAATAGTAAAATACCAGAAGATAACAGCTTGCCCGTGTGACGCCCATTTTCTTACATTTCGCCGGGTCTGCACGTCCAATGCTTGAATGCGTCCATATGCGGGGATATGGCTGTCAGCAGAGCCTCAAGGTAGCCGTTGCGTGTACATACATTGTCTAGTGCAACTGATAAGAAAGAAGGAAACACAGAAAAGAATCAGCCAATCAATAACCGTTCGATTAGTCTTTATACATATTTTCTATAATGGGGCATTAGACAAAAGATACAAATGCAATCAATTAACAATTAACAATTAACCCCCATCATCCCATCCTTTCCCATGTCTGTCTGTCTGTATGCCTGTCTGTCTGTCTGTAACAAAGCAGATACGGTTCCAAAGGTCAAACCGTTCTTAACTGCCCTGCGTGCCCTGCAGGCTGGGATACATAGGAAGTTTGAAACAATTGATCATTTAATGTTGTTTTTTAAACACTAATAATTATTTTTTTTCTTTCTAATTAAGATAACGCCACTTTCAATTTAAGATACGAATAAGCTTCTATTACATTTTACTGTATTTTCCATCCTCTAGATCTATAGCCCTTAAGCGTCGATGGGAGATGCAGTTTTCTATGGTTGGCAGCTCTGCAGTTCCTTCATTTGGAAATTTCAATTTCTTATAATTTCTCAGGTTTTTCTGGACTCCCTCAGAAATTTTTTTTACTTGGCCTTCCGCGTCATTTATAGCCTGAGTACTTTGTGTTATAAGCTCTTGAGGCTGGATGGCAAGGTGATATTGGTATTAGGTGGCCGAACCATTTCATAATCTGTTTTTCTGTGAAATGCAGGCAGGACTCTGTGCAAATAGTTGCTATTACTTCTTTCATTTCTCGGCCTGTCTCTTCTTGCGATGTTAAGAGTTTTGTGGAGACATTTCATCTCGCATGTTGTAACTTTGTTTTCGTGATTTTTACTTAATGTCCAGGTCTGACACTGGTAGCATAGTGTTGGTATAAAGACTGAAGTGATATTATTTTTTTATGCTGTCTCTTTGTGTCCATGGGGATGTTTGGATGAGATAAGAGGAGTGCAAGGCGGTAGGTGACTTTCGAGTTCGCATCTTCACCTGTTTCAGTGGTTTACTATTGACATGGAAGTTCAGGGGGCTATTGTTTCGGCTCATTTGTATAATTTCTGTTTTTGATGTGCTTATTTTAATGTTAAATTTCACTCAGCAGTTGTTCAGTTCTGTAGTATAATTTTAAAGGCTTGTTAACCTGTTGTGTTCAATGGTTTTCTCGCACAGCTGTCGGAATGCGAATACAGTGTCCATGCATACTACCCCCTTTCGGAATCGGAACTGATCTGCACTCAGATTTCTTCTTACGTTAGGTTTTATCCTATGTTCTGTAATCTTCGCATATGTTTTCTCTTCTTGGCTAAACAAAGAGATGCCTCTACACGTTGTGCAGTTGTTTTTCTTTTTTCCCCTTTCTTTTTCCATAATGGGGCCCTTATTATAGCTTTCAGTCAGTTCTTATAAAATTTTGCCTTAGCCACAGTAAACCGGTGTTTCCACAAGCTTTTGTGGCTTCCACTGCGATGTCATCTGGTCATCGGGCTTTGTTATTGGGGCTGTTTGGGAGTGCAATTTCGATTTCTCTAGTCAGTATAGGTGGTTCTGTTTGCTCTGCGCTTGTTGGTTGGAATTTTTCTTGTTGTCCTAGGTAAACGGTTAGGTTGAAATGTCTTGGAAATAATGTTCCCATCTTTTCTTATTTATAACATGTCGGGTTGTATGGTTCATTCCTTACCATCACGCTGATCACACTTTTAATAAATTCTCAATAGTATTCTGTGCAAAATTTGGTATTTCTTGTCAAATACTTTCAATGCATTTTCTGTAGTAAAAAATGAGATTCAAAACCCGCTACATCCATTTAGCACTTTTGAGAAAATCAGGTTTTTTTCAAAGCTTCTTTACGCACGAACTGAGAGCAGAAAGAACAACAGTGAGTGTAGGGAGCTGGTCTACCACACAGGAAGCTTGACTAAAAATTGTAGGATGATAAACAAAATGGGGTATAAAAGTAGTAGTAATTTGCCAAAACCAGCTATATCCCCCCCATAAAAATCCCTTGATGCCTTAAGTCACTCTTTTGCTCTAATTGCAACCACCGTATTCCTCTGAAACACCTAGTCGTCCTAGAACAAAGGATTTTTTGTGTGCTGGCAGAGGGTGAAAATGAGCTATCTCTGTAAAACGTATTGAACGTGCTGTTGTTGGTGGGTTGAACAAAATTACTGGTTTGACTCGTCGACGCCCTTTTGAAGAGGAAGTCAAGTGACATGATCGAGAAATTTCATTGGCCAATAAAGAAAGGTTTTAGGTGTTATGATTTTGGATTTATCAGTTTATACGTAAAAAGGATATATTTTTATTTTTATGAAGGATGTGTTGAGTTTTGGCCGAAAACACTTTGTGCATCTGATAGCCGGTTGCAAAGTCCATCGATAAGCTATAAAATCTCGATATTTTCCCAAAATGTCGCTTAGCGGGTTTTGCATCTCATCCCCCTCTTCTGATAACTCTTTTGGTCTCTCTTCTCGCTTTATTGTATTATATATAGTCCTCTTCGTTCTTTTGACTTCTGTCGTTTCTTGAATAGTCTCTTTTTCACTTATATTGCTTTTTTGGTTTCATCATTCCAAAAACATGTTGTTCTGATATTGTTTCCGCCTATTCGCTTGGTGCAACAACTGCTTTTCAGTATTACTGATACGGATTTTTTGAATGTTTGTCACTCTTTTTCTACCTCTTTGATTCAGGTGACAGCATATAAATATATTGTACTCATCGGAGGTGTTATCCTTGATTGCCTTCTTGATGTCTGGCTCTCTCAATTTACTCAGACCGATCGTTGTCCTTCCCTTGTTCTTCCTTGTTTGCTTTACATTACTGGTTGTGAAAGTAAGTATCACAGGTCTGTGGTCCGTACCGATAATGTAGTTTGGGACCGCTTTCGAATCTTTGGCTGTACGCCATTGTTATTGTGCATAAGGATGAAATCGATTTGTGATGCAGGATTTAGGTCTTTCCATCTGTACCAGGTCTTCTTTGGCTTTATCTAGTATGTTGATAAATGAGTGTGTAATCCTCATGTCGTGCTCTGCGCGTAGGTTTAGTCTCATTTGTCTATTGTTGTTGCAGGCTGTATCTTTATCACCGTGAGGTCCAAAGTACTCTTCCCAAGATGTTCTTCTTTGTCCAACCCTGCCATCTAGATCTCCAAAGATATCTTCTTGGTTCTTGATGGTGTCAATGTGTATGATAAAAGCTATACCATTTTCAGGGTTCCACTCCAGATCAGGGGGTAGCCTTTATGGGCCAGCTTGCTGTTGATGCTGTGCAGTGAACTTTTGATTCCTAAAATGTATAATCTTTGTTTTCAGCACTGATGTCACGTATCGCTCACGGCTCAAAATGATCCATTTGCTTTATATTGCAAGTTTCGTTTATTTCTGAGATATATTTTCAGTGAACTCTGCAATATATCGGAAATCGAATATATACGTGTTCTGCGTGCGTGTAACAGCAAAGAAATTTAGCTTTACGTCAGAGACATCAGTTCGGCGGTTGCATCCTCTTGTCTGTAACCACAAAATGTGACCACCTATAGAATCCTACGTCCTATTTTGTTTGGTTGCTGGTGCTCGGAACATACAAAAACCACCTAGTTTAGTTTCTAGAGAATTGAAGGTCAACGAATATTACGTGAGTTTTCAGTGTTTGTTGAAAATTGAATGCATTAGGCTATTAAACTCTCTGCTAATACAATTCGGCACTTCCAAAAAAAAAGTCCTTATCATCATTCAGTTCCTCATTGGTCGAGGGCCAATATAGAAATATTTGTGAACCTTCTAAATAGCTGGACAAGCCGTAATATTTGCTCTTATTAGTGTCTTGCACAACCCTGTGTATGCATTGAACGCAGGTCTAAATCATTCAGTGTTGTGTGCCTCCACTTGAAGTAACTTGTTTTGATTTGTGATCTCTCTGCGTAAGGTAAGCTGATGAACCCAGGCTGAGAAATGATATCCAGCATTTTATTGGTTGCTCGACATTGGATGGGCGGTCACTAGGCAGAGTGCTTGATCCAAATACAATGACCCAAGCTCAAAAACAGAGTGCTGCCCAAGAATAACCAGTATTACTTTGAGTGTTTTGTTAAATTATTGTGTTATGGTACTTTGTATTGTAGTTTTTGAATTAATTTTCTTGTACACTACTCTTTTCATTTAACAAGATACGCAATAAAAATGGTTTTGATCTATCTATCTATCTATCTATCTATCTATCTATCTATCTATCTATCTATCTATCGATCTATCTATCTATCGATCTATCTATCTATCGATCTATCTATCTATCTATCTATCTATCATTCTACCTATCCACCTATCTATCTACCGTTTAACAAAAATCACGTTTGTTAATCAAGACCCTTATATATTTCAAGGTACGTTACTGTAACTTTCAGAGACGTCAGAAAAATATTTTCAAAGTCTAGAGTCATACTTGAAGTATGGTTTGAGTCTCCGTTTAGCACAACTCGTGGATCTCTAAAGCATATTCTTTCTTGACCCAAACAAGGGCACTTGCTCTAGATTTAACGTCTTCAAAAATGGGAGCAAGAGGTCTGCAACTGCTGGCTGGTGAACCATCTCAAATTTTATTTTAAAATGTGAATGGCCTAAAAATGTAAAAGCTTGTAATACGAGTTCTTTCTGAGGGTGTATTTATATTTAGCCATGATCGCTCAGTGGATAATGGTCCATCCTTCCCAAAAATGTGACACCAAATAGCCTTTGAAGATAAAAACAGCATTATAAAGTCAGATTTCACAAAGCTATCAATAAAGGTTTGCTAAGTTAAGTCTGTGTTTCAGACACCATTTTTAAGAGACAAAAACCCAATACGAATGACTACTCAGTGTAATCTTAAAATGGACATAAATATTAATATTATAGATTGGTGTTAACAATGATGAGTCATGTGTAAGACTAACAGAGGTGGTGCTCGTTGGAGGATCTGGTCTGTTTGATACGATTAGGTTCGGTTCGATTTAGTTTCTGGTAGCTTCAACGTCTACTATAAATAAACCCCTTCTTCAAACCAATCAGCCCACTCCCAGCGCGAAAACAAAACTGACAAAACTGAGAATGACCTTCAATAACAAACACGCTTCTTTTCAAGTTTGCACGTCTGGCGATCAGTTTGGTCAATTAGTCTTTTAATAGTGTGCTATGAAGCCGATTGAATCCGAGCCGAACTGAACAGAACCGATCCTACAATGGGCGCCTACTTGTTTTTGAAGATCATCGTCGCCTGCAGACTGTGTGCGCCACGGTAGTAGATTCCACCCATCCCCCTCCCATGGTGGAAAATTTGGCTAGCCCAGACAGCCAAACAGAACCGAACCATACTGAACCGATATTGCAAATGGGCACCGGGTATTTTAAACGTGACCTACTGTCAATGTCGTTTTTCCATAGGCACATAGCAGCCATAGGACAGCTGGCATCATCACAGTGTTTTACAACCCGGCATTCCTGCTGGCCGTTACACTCGTCTTTTTTTTCATCACACCAAATGTTCACCGGTGGTGGAGGTATGGACTTTGGGAAAGAGAGTAAAAGACAAAAAAGTTATTCATCATCATCATCATCATCATCATCATCATCATCATCATCATCATCATCATCATCATCAGCATCATCATCATCATTGTTTGGTAAGCAGAGTAGGAGGGAGAGTCTTGTTTTAATTTTAGACAAAATAACATAACAATATAAAATTATTAAATTTTCTTAATAGCTCAACCTTTCGCCTCGTGGGCTTCCTCAGGAGTAGCTGAGAGAAAAACTAAATGAGCGCTGTATACTAGCAGGGAAATGGGCCTAACGAAGGGGGTCTTACGATTACTTGTGGTTACAGGCTAGACGGAAGTGACTAAGTGGGTGCCAGGCCAAGGGGCTAATTATAAAGAAATTGATGCTAGTCTATCAAGGATATCGAGAGGCTGACAAGAAGTTAATTGTGAGAACGTGTAATGAAAGAGGAAAATGTATAGAGGCATCCCAGTTGGAGGTAAAAGGAGGGAGACAGAAGAAGGGCGTGTGTGTGTGTGTGTGTGTGTGTGTGTGTGTGTGTGTGTGTGAGTGTGA